TATTATTGTCCAGAATTCAACAAATGGTATGCAAAAAATAAAAAATTACAAAAAATGCAATTAAAAGTGTCTTCTTTTCTGCTTAATATATGATTTTTAAAGAAATGAGTAATTCTAACCTTTCAGTGATCTTCCCACTTAGGCCATCCACAATCTCCAAAGAAATATCCCCTTGAGCCCAATTCAGACTCAGGGATTTATATTCCAAGTTTATTTGAAGTGGACATGCACAGGGTACTAAACTAACATGAGGTCTATTGACCAAGTAAAACATTGGAAGTTTCGAAGTGAGTGCATCATCAACACGTTGCTTTATAGCGATTTCTAAGCCTCTAGTATCACTGCAATTCCCATCACCTAGAAAGCAAAAACAAAATACTCAGAAGTTCAATATCAAAAGACTATACCAAAATAAAGAAAAAGAAAATAATCAGAAATAGTATAAGTCTATTTCTCTATCCTTTATCTTTCAACCTTCTCTTTCCTACTTCTACTCTCTTAGTAGCAACTTCCATATTCTTTACCAGAACCAGGACAAGGTGGTAAGTCGGAATTTCCATTTTAAAAAAGACTCTTAAACAGAAAATAAGGAAAAGTCATTCTACTAAATAAAAGTAAAGACCCAGGGCTGACCCAGAAAGAAATCTGTACTTTTTACAGGGTTCTGCCAGAGAGAATTGGCTCATTCTGTCTGGATCCCTCTGATTATAGCAAGAAATCAGTACATAATGCAGCAGGTAAACCTGGCTGAGAAATAGGTGGTAAAAGTTATTTTACCACATCTAAGGGCCACAAATTACAAATGTTTCAATAACACGATGTTCAATTTCACAAAGTAATTTAAAGAATGACCATTTCTGGTTAAAATTGTAGTCAAAACTAAAAGCTTTAAATTCTCAATCATAATAATTGAAGAAGAGATCTCAAAAAGATGCAATGTCACTACTATAAAATAGTGAGCTGCATCAAACTTAAAACAGAAGTTAGGAAGCAGTCACTCCAATTTAAAAACTAATTCTAAAGCAGAAATCTTTTCTCCTTAGAAGGTCAGGCGTTCTTACAAACAATAGAATCTCTGTATACCACTAGACATACTTCATGAATAAAGTTTTGTTTGCTTATCAGTTACTAGGACTTCATTAGGACTACCTAGGCACTAAGAAAATGATCTAAAAAGGACATGAGGAGCTTCTTACATCCTTTTTCTAAATGTAATACTTCTTTTAAGTATTCAAAACTAACAGTGACAAATGAAGGCTAGTCAAATTAAAAATATATTTGGGCACAGAAAAAAATCCAGAAAAATTAAGGTCTGAAAAATAGTTATTGTACCTATAATGAACAGTAGATATGGATTCAGAAGAAAATCTAATGTATTTATTACACACTGCAATGGGATGACACTGGTTGTGCCTAAAAAAGCAAGACATATTTGGAAAAAGAAAAAAAAACCCTGCAAGTCAAACTCCTTATAAGATTCTTAAACATCAAATTATTTCACCTAGATATTATAATGGGAAGTATAAAAATTAATGTAATAGGAAAATAA